CCAATACCTACACTTCCGTACAACCACATAAAACTCCATACACATTTCAATACACTCACCTTCTTCACCACCCTCCGTCAATTTCAAATCCATCGCCGTCAACACGCACACAGCTTTAGATTCACTCACTGGTAAAACGGAACACCCTGAAACACTGCTCGCATCTCCGTTCACTGATCCTAAAACAATACAGCCCACAATCAATATCAATAAAATAAGTCGTTCCTAACAAATAACACTCAACTGCACATCTGGGAAAATATCTCAAAATTACCTTTCTCAACTACGGGCTCTGCTAACACAGACTCGCTCAATCTCAGTGGGGAAAACGATTCTGAAAGTATACAAAAACCATTACAAAAAATGTTAAATACTCATCATCACATCGACAGCAAACACTCCACTGTCACACTCACAGTAACATTGAATATAATCATCAACACAAGTATCAATATGACAAGTAAAACACAACACCCACATCATCACATAGACAACTATCCAAAACAAAAAACAAATATCGACTTTCTTATTCAACCCTCCATCACATAAACACCGACTACTCACATCCACCGACAATAAAAAAAAAACAACTCAATATCACACTTACCACCACTCCCCACATTCCCTCTGACCGTGCCTCTTCTCCCACGCCGTCTACCCACCATCACCTACAATAGAAACAACAACAACAATATTAATCGTAATCAAAATCATCACCGTACCAACAACATGTACAACACACTCACTTCCTTCCTACACCATCACCGAAAATACAACAGAAACACACAACTATTCCCATATAAATTGAACACTGAAAGCTTCACTAAAACCAAACTCACCGGGACAACCGCACCCACAGACTCCACTGTTCCACCTGAAATTCAAAACACAAAACTCATTATTCTACAAATCTTCAACAAAACACAACACTATACTTTCACCAAAACCACTGTGGTTCACCTCATCCAAGAAAACAGTGCTCCACGTAGCCACACACATTCACTTCACGTACCACTCACTCAACACCACAACTCACACAATACAAACACACAAATTAAACCCCATCAACACGATTACACTCACCATTCCATGTAATTACATACAACCATGAACCTATCTGCTTAACGACCTAATACCACCAAGTCACAAGTGTCGTAGCTCGAATCAGTCACTCAATTCAATCATGTACATAATAACGAAAATTATTACCCAATCTAGCTGTTCTCTCGTCGCAAAACAACACACTCGTCTTCGCACATCACCAAACACATATCACAAGTACAAAACATCCTATGTACCATAATACGCCTCAACTCGTCAAACAAACACATACACACACACAAACACACACACCATCATCATATGACTAAACAAATCCTCAAAAGCTACATAACTATCACAATAACCAACACAACATCAATAATCATGAATCACGCTTCACACTAACAACAACCAACACTAATACTAAAAGCTGCCGTCCAGTGCTTCCAGGTTTTCGATGGTGGTCTAGCCTCAATTGACTCATGATCTTAACTATAAAATAAAATGTAGAAAATCCACAATTACCTCTGTCAGGAGAACTGATCGATTGAGAAGAAACTAGTGAATTCAAATCCCCATTCATTGACATCGATTTCTCTGAAGAACAAAAAAATTCACCGATTAACAAACACACATCAGGTGAGTCTAATACTATCACGTCGAAACAATTAAAGGTTACTAAGAAAAATTTCAGATGCACATTTTCAACAAATAACATCAAAAACATAAATATATAACTTCAACTCTCCAACACAGACACACCAAACTCATCAAAACCAATACCTACACTTCCGTACAACCACATAAAACTCCATACACATTTCAATACACTCACCTTCTTCACCACCCTCCGTCAATTTCAAATCCATCGCCGTCAACACGCACACAGCTTTAGATTCACTCACTGGTAAAACGGAACACCCTGAAACACTGCTCGCATCTCCGTTCACTGATCCTAAAACAATACAGCCCACAATCAATATCAATAAAATAAGTCGTTCCTAACAAATAACACTCAACTGCACATCTGGGAAAATATCTCAAAATTACCTTTCTCAACTACGGGCTCTGCTAACACAGACTCGCTCAATCTCAGTGGGGAAAACGATTCTGAAAGTATACAAAAACCATTACAAAAAATGTTAAATACTCATCATCACATCGACAGCAAACACTCCACTGTCACACTCACAGTAACATTGAATATAATCATCAACACAAGTATCAATATGACAAGTAAAACACAACACCCACATCATCACATAGACAACTATCCAAAACAAAAAACAAATATCGACTTTCTTATTCAACCCTCCATCACATAAACACCGACTACTCACATCCACCGACAATAAAAAAAAAACAACTCAATATCACACTTACCACCACTCCCCACATTCCCTCTGACCGTGCCTCTTCTCCCACGCCGTCTACCCACCATCACCTACAATAGAAACAACAACAACAATATTAATCGTAATCAAAATCATCACCGTACCAACAACATGTACAACACACTCACTTCCTTCCTACACCATCACCGAAAATACAACAGAAACACACAACTATTCCCATATAAATTGAACACTGAAAGCTTCACTAAAACCAAACTCACCGGGACAACCGCACCCACAGACTCCACTGTTCCACCTGAAATTCAAAACACAAAACTCATTATTCTACAAATCTTCAACAAAACACAACACTATACTTTCACCAAAACCACTGTGGTTCACCTCATCCAAGAAAACAGTGCTCCACGTAGCCACACACATTCACTTCACGTACCACTCACTCAACACCACAACTCACACAATACAAACACACAAATTAAACCCCATCAACACGATTACACTCACCATTCCATGTAATTACATACAACCATGAACCTATCTGCTTAACGACCTAATACCACCAAGTCACAAGTGTCGTAGCTCGAATCAGTCACTCAATTCAATCATGTACATAATAACGAAAATTATTACCCAATCTAGCTGTTCTCTCGTCGCAAAACAACACACTCGTCTTCGCACATCACCAAACACATATCACAAGTACAAAACATCCTATGTACCATAATACGCCTCAACTCGTCAAACAAACACATACACACACACAAACACACACACCATCATCATATGACTAAACAAATCCTCAAAAGCTACATAACTATCACAATAACCAACACAACATCAATAATCATGAATCACGCTCCACACTAACAACAACCAACACTAATACTAAAAGCTGTAACAACAAATAAAATGTAGAAAATCCACAATTACCTCTGTCAGGAGAACTGATCGATTGAGAAGAAACTAGTGAATTCAAATCCCCATTCATTGACATCGATTTCTCTGAAGAACAAAAAAATTCACCGATTAACAAACACACATCAGGTGAGTCTAATACTATCACGTCGAAACAATTAAAGGTTACTAAGAAAAATTTCAGATGCACATTTTCAACAAATAACATCAAAAACATAAATATATAACTTCAACTCTCCAACACAGACACACCAAACTCATCAAAACCAATACCTACACTTCCGTACAACCACATAAAACTCCATACACATTTCAATACACTCACCTTCTTCACCACCCTCCGTCAATTTCAAATCCATCGCCGTCAACACGCACACAGCTTTAGATTCACTCACTGGTAAAACGGAACACCCTGAAACACTGCTCGCATCTCCGTTCACTGATCCTAAAACAATACAGCCCACAATCAATATCAATAAAATAAGTCGTTCCTAACAAATAACACTCAACTGCACATCTGGGAAAATATCTCAAAATTACCTTTCTCAACTACGGGCTCTGCTAACACAGACTCGCTCAATCTCAGTGGGGAAAACGATTCTGAAAGTATACAAAAACCATTACAAAAAATGTTAAATACTCATCATCACATCGACAGCAAACACTCCACTGTCACACTCACAGTAACATTGAATATAATCATCAACACAAGTATCAATATGACAAGTAAAACACAACACCCACATCATCACATAGACAACTATCCAAAACAAAAAACAAATATCGACTTTCTTATTCAACCCTCCATCACATAAACACTGACTACTCACATCCACCGACAATAAAAAAAAAACAACTCAATATCACACTTACCACCACTCCCCACATTCCCTCTGACCGTGCCTCTTCTCCCACGCCGTCTACCCACCATCACCTACAATAGAAACAACAACAACAATATTAATCGTAATCAAAATCATCACCGTACCAACAACATGTACAACACACTCACTTCCTTCCTACACCATCACCGAAAATACAACAGAAACACACAACTATTCCCATATAAATTGAACACTGAAAGCTTCACTAAAACCAAACTCACCGGGACAACCGCACCCACAGACTCCACTGTTCCACCTGAAATTCAAAACACAAAACTCATTATTCTACAAATCTTCAACAAAACACAACACTATACTTTCACCAAAACCACTGTGGTTCACCTCATCCAAGAAAACAGTGCTCCACGTAGCCACACACATTCACTTCACGTACCACTCACTCAACACCACAACTCACACAATACAAACACACAAATTAAACCCCATCAACACGATTACACTCACCATTCCATGTAATTACATACAACCATGAACCTATCTGCTTAACGACCTAATACCACCAAGTCACAAGTGTCGTAGCTCGAATCAGTCACTCAATTCAATCATGTACATAATAACGAAAATTATTACCCAATCTAGCTGTTCTCTCGTCGCAAAACAACACACTCGTCTTCGCACATCACCAAACACATATCACAAGTACAAAACATCCTATGTACCATAATACGCCTCAACTCGTCAAACAAACACATACACACACACAAACACACAAACCATCATCATATGACTAAACAAATCCTCAAAAGCTACATAACTATCACAATAACCAACACAACATCAATAATCATGAATCACGCTCCACACTAACAACAACCAACACTAATACTAAAAGCTGTAACAACAAATAAAATGTAGAAAATCCACAATTACCTCTATCAGGAGAACTGATCGATTGAGAAGAAACTAGTGAATTCAAATCCCCATTCATTGACATCGATTTCTCTGAAGAACAAAAAAATTCACCGATTAACAAACACACATCAGGTGAGTCTAATACTATCACGTCGAAACAATTAAAGGTTACTAAGAAAAATTTCAGATGCACATTTTCAACAAATAACATCAAAAACATAAATATATAACTTCAACTCTCCAACACAGACACACCAAACTCATCAAAACCAATACCTACACTTCCGTACAACCACATAAAACTCCATACACATTTCAATACACTCACCTTCTTCACCACCCTCCGTCAATTTCAAATCCATCGCCGTCAACACGCACACAGCTTTAGATTCACTCACTGGTAAAACGGAACACCCTGAAACACTGCTCGCATCTCCGTTCACTGATCCTAAAACAATACAGCCCACAATCAATATCAATAAAATAAGTCGTTCCTAACAAATAACACTCAACTGCACATCTGGGAAAATATCTCAAAATTACCTTTCTCAACTACGGGCTCTGCTAACACAGACTCGCTCAATCTCAGTGGGGAAAACGATTCTGAAAGTATACAAAAACCATTACAAAAAATGTTAAATACTCATCATCACATCGACAGCAAACACTCCACTGTCACACTCACAGTAACATTGAATATAATCATCAACACAAGTATCAATATGACAAGTAAAACACAACACCCACATCATCACATAGACAACTATCCAAAACAAAAAACAAATATCGACTTTCTTATTCAACCCTCCATCACATAAACACCGACTACTCACATCCACCGACAATAAAAAAAAAACAACTCAATATCACACTTACCACCACTCCCCACATTCCCTCTGACCGTGCCTCTTCTCCCACGCCGTCTACCCACCATCACCTACAATAGAAACAACAACAACAATATTAATCGTAATCAAAATCATCACCGTACCAACAACATGTACAACACACTCACTTCCTTCCTACACCATCACCGAAAATACAACAGAAACACACAACTATTCCCATATAAATTGAACACTGAAAGCTTCACTAAAACCAAACTCACCGGGACAACCGCACCCACAGACTCCACTGTTCCACCTGAAATTCAAAACACAAAACTCATTATTCTACAAATCTTCAACAAAACACAACACTATACTTTCACCAAAACCACTGTGGTTCACCTCATCCAAGAAAACAGTGCTCCACGTAGCCACACACATTCACTTCACGTACCACTCACTCAACACCACAACTCACACAATACAAACACACAAATTAAACCCCATCAACACGATTACACTCACCATTCCATGTAATTACATACAACCATGAACCTATCTGCTTAACGACCTAATACCACCAAGTCACAAGTGTCGTAGCTCGAATCAGTCACTCAATTCAATCATGTACATAATAACGAAAATTATTACCCAATCTAGCTGTTCTCTCGTCGCAAAACAACACACTCGTCTTCGCACATCACCAAACACATATCACAAGTACAAAACATCCTATGTACCATAATACGCCTCAACTCGTCAAACAAACACATACACACACACAAACACACAAACCATCATCATATGACTAAACAAATCCTCAAAAGCTACATAACTATCACAATAACCAACACAACATCAATAATCATGAATCACGCTCCACACTAACAACAACCAACACTAATACTAAAAGCTGTAACAACAAATAAAATGTAGAAAATCCACAATTACCTCTATCAGGAGAACTGATCGATTGAGAAGAAACTAGTGAATTCAAATCCCCATTCATTGACATCGATTTCTCTGAAGAACAAAAAAATTCACCGATTAACAAACACACATCAGGTGAGTCTAATACTATCACGTCGAAACAATTAAAGGTTACTAAGAAAAATTTCAGATGCACATTTTCAACAAATAACATCAAAAACATAAATATATAACTTCAACTCTCCAACACAGACACACCAAACTCATCAAAACCAATACCTACACTTCCGTACAACCACATAAAACTCCATACACATTTCAATACACTCACCTTCTTCACCACCCTCCGTCAATTTCAAATCCATCGCCGTCAACACGCACACAGCTTTAGATTCACTCACTGGTAAAACGGAACACCCTGAAACACTGCTCGCATCTCCGTTCACTGATCCTAAAACAATACAGCCCACAATCAATATCAATAAAATAAGTCGTTCCTAACAAATAACACTCAACTGCACATCTGGGAAAATATCTCAAAATTACCTTTCTCAACTACGGGCTCTGCTAACACAGACTCGCTCAATCTCAGTGGGGAAAACGATTCTGAAAGTATACAAAAACCATTACAAAAAATGTTAAATACTCATCATCACATCGACAGCAAACACTCCACTGTCACACTCACAGTAACATTGAATATAATCATCAACACAAGTATCAATATGACAAGTAAAACACAACACCCACATCATCACATAGACAACTATCCAAAACAAAAAACAAATATCGACTTTCTTATTCAACCCTCCATCACATAAACACCGACTACTCACATCCACCGACAATAAAAAAAAAACAACTCAATATCACACTTACCACCACTCCCCACATTCCCTCTGACCGTGCCTCTTCTCCCACGCCGTCTACCCACCATCACCTACAATAGAAACAACAACAACAATATTAATCGTAATCAAAATCATCACCGTACCAACAACATGTACAACACACTCACTTCCTTCCTACACCATCACCGAAAATACAACAGAAACACACAACTATTCCCATATAAATTGAACACTGAAAGCTTCACTAAAACCAAACTCACCGGGACAACCGCACCCACAGACTCCACTGTTCCACCTGAAATTCAAAACACAAAACTCATTATTCTACAAATCTTCAACAAAACACAACACTATACTTTCACCAAAACCACTGTGGTTCACCTCATCCAAGAAAACAGTGCTCCACGTAGCCACACACATTCACTTCACGTACCACTCACTCAACACCACAACTCACACAATACAAACACACAAATTAAACCCCATCAACACGATTACACTCACCATTCCATGTAATTACATACAACCATGAACCTATCTGCTTAACGACCTAATACCACCAAGTCACAAGTGTCGTAGCTCGAATCAGTCACTCAATTCAATCATGTACATAATAACGAAAATTATTACCCAATCTAGCTGTTCTCTCGTCGCAAAACAACACACTCGTCTTCGCACATCACCAAACACATATCACAAGTACAAAACATCCTATGTACCATAATACGCCTCAACTCGTCAAACAAACACATACACACACACAAACACACAAACCATCATCATATGACTAAACAAATCCTCAAAAGCTACATAACTATCACAATAACCAACACAACATCAATAATCATGAATCACGCTCCACACTAACAACAACCAACACTAATACTAAAAGCTGTAACAACAAATAAAATGTAGAAAATCCACAATTACCTCTGTCAGGAGAACTGATCGATTGAGAAGAAACTAGTGAATTCAAATCCCCATTCATTGACATCGATTTCTCTGAAGAACAAAAAAATTCACCGATTAACAAACACACATCAGGTGAGTCTAATACTATCACGTCGAAACAATTAAAGGTTACTAAGAAAAATTTCAGATGCACATTTTCAACAAATAACATCAAAAACATAAATATATAACTTCAACTCTCCAACACAGACACACCAAACTCATCAAAACCAATACCTACACTTCCGTACAACCACATAAAACTCCATACACATTTCAATACACTCACCTTCTTCACCACCCTCCGTCAATTTCAAATCCATCGCCGTCAACACGCACACAGCTTTAGATTCACTCACTGGTAAAACGGAACACCCTGAAACACTGCTCGCATCTCCGTTCACTGATCCTAAAACAATACAGCCCACAATCAATATCAATAAAATAAGTCGTTCCTAACAAATAACACTCAACTGCACATCTGGGAAAATATCTCAAAATTACCTTTCTCAACTACGGGCTCTGCTAACACAGACTCGCTCAATCTCAGTGGGGAAAACGATTCTGAAAGTATACAAAAACCATTACAAAAAATGTTAAATACTCATCATCACATCGACAGCAAACACTCCACTGTCACACTCACAGTAACATTGAATATAATCATCAACACAAGTATCAATATGACAAGTAAAACACAACACCCACATCATCACATAGACAACTATCCAAAACAAAAAACAAATATCGACTTTCTTATTCAACCCTCCATCACATAAACACCGACTACTCACATCCACCGACAATAAAAAAAAAAACAACTCAATATCACACTTACCACCACTCCCCACATTCCCTCTGACCGTGCCTCTTCTCCCACGCCGTCTACCCACCATCACCTACAATAGAAACAACAACAACAATATTAATCGTAATCAAAATCATCACCGTACCAACAACATGTACAACACACTCACTTCCTTCCTACACCATCACCGAAAATACAACAGAAACACACAACTATTCCCATATAAATTGAACACTGAAAGCTTCACTAAAACCAAACTCACCGGGACAACCGCACCCACAGACTCCACTGTTCCACCTGAAATTCAAAACACAAAACTCATTATTCTACAAATCTTCAACAAAACACAACACTATACTTTCACCAAAACCACTGTGGTTCACCTCATCCAAGAAAACAGTGCTCCACGTAGCCACACACATTCACTTCACGTACCACTCACTCAACACCACAACTCACACAATACAAACACACAAATTAAACCCCATCAACATGATCACACTCACTATACTTCTGATTAGTATGGTAGTATTTATTTTGGTTGTATAATACTGCAAGTGATTTACGAATAATTTTTTTAGTTTACTCATATCGAAATTTGTCGTTTATTGTGTGTTCTGTAATTTTCTCTGATTAATTACTTGAATCTGTATTGTATGTGTATTGGTATTACTTTGAATTAAAAATTTCGTAATAAACCTGTGTTTCGTATCTGTATCTCCCAAAGCAGTTAGTTGAATGAAATTGATCAACAGGTGATCGTTCCATCGGACAACTACTGTTGCATCTATTATGCAGGCTGTTATGTAGGAAATACAAATCTATTTTGTTCGGTCAAAGATAACTTTGTTTGAAATGAAAGTCATTTATCGTTTTATTAATTATCGCTGTTTGTTAACGCTATCTGCTTCTATGTTATTATGAAATGGTAGTTTTATTTTATTAAATAGATGATAAATTATCCTGCATTCGACGTTATTTAGAAAAGTAGGTTTTATCTTAAGAACTTAAATTCATTCCTATAGTTCTGACGTACTGTAGTGTGATGATGAGATCCTACTACCATTAACTCAGTTTTGTATTTCCATTACTGTTCAATAAATGATTTGTATTTACTGAAACATCTTCATTACAACTCTGCCTAGTTGAGCAATTTAATAATAATCGACATTGTTGAAGTACTTGGCTACAAAGATATTGCGTAAATTCATATAGACTCACCTATATGATAGATAGATGTTAGATGTAGACTTTGAAATAAAGCAGTGATTTTCCTTAATTAAGGATTAACTATAATATAATTTTCAATCTTAGTAATTTCAAATAAATTGGGCGTTAGATAGATTTTTCATATTAAATAAGCAATGCGCTGTGATAAACTAATCAGTGATGAAATAGGATTCCGGACATTTCACAGCTTAATGCAAGTGACTTTTACAGATAATAAATAACCAATTTATGTAATCAGCTATCCAATTACTTGTTTGAAAAATATTATGAGGAACACAAAAAATTACTTTCAAAGCTTGACGTTTGAAGCAATCCTGACTGGTCCAACCGGACTGGTGAGATGGATGCTGAAAAAAACAAGAACTCTAAGTCAGTAGTATAGATAAAGTACCTAAATACATGAAAGATAAGTCCTTCGACGTTTAGATGATTAAAGAAAACAGGAAATTAGTTGGACAATGAATAAAATACATTAAAACAACCTAATAAAACTTGAAAAACAGACTTACAACAATTCAACAAATTTTGCTTCCCACGTCTTCGTCGACCTCGGAGTTTACGAACAGCCGCCTAAGCATCACATTGAGGAAAAGTATTTTTTTCAAAGTAAATTGAAAACAATATTGAAATCAGGCTTAAAAATATACTTAAGTTACTAAATATAGTTTACCTGCAGGTCAACTATCGTACATTCAGTCAGCTACAACGTAGGACCAGGCACACATATGCATCAGTCCAAGTTGCCACACCTCATTAGCATAAGATGAACACCAAGTTCATAAAGTAGTCACTTCGATGGTAGTAAAATAACAGTGGAGAAAGAATTAATTCTTACAAAGGAATGTATAAATATTAATCTTACGGTTTAATGGAAGACAAAGAGTGTATACACCTACGCCGTTTTCATCGATTACCAGCCATGTCACCTAGAGTCTCCAACCATTGGATACGATGATCACGTGGACCCCAACCAAGCAGTCTGCATCTACCAACATGGCTCAGATTAGAAGTTAGCGACTTCAAGCACTAATGCCACGTTTTGGTATCGCCGCCCCTAACTTTCTTCCAATCATCGCCAATACCGGTCAGTATAGCGCGTCGTGGTAATCTATGTTCAGGCATACATAACACGTGGCCCAATCATCACAATCGATGAAGATTCATAACCTCATTAACTGATAAACCATCATTTCCTAATACCCTATGTCTAGCCTCACTATTACTTACCCAGTGGTCCCAGCAGATGCGAGCAACATTTCTAAGACATTTGTGACCAAACATTAGTAACTTACGAGTATCCTCTGCTCTTAATGGCCACGTTTTGCAGCTGTAGATTAGAACAGAATGAACTACGGCGCAGTATACTTGTCTCTTAATTGATAGACGGATATCTCGCCTTCGTCATAGGTGACGTAAGTTGGCAAAATCCAAACGAGCTTTCTGAATCGGCTTAGAGATTTCGTTAGACACCAATCCATTAGGGTTGATCAGACTTCCAAGATAAGTGGAGTTGTCGACGCATTCGAACACTTCATTCCCTATCTTTAATTTAAATGTAGACGCAGAACAGTCCTGAGGCAATAATTTGCATTTAAACGGAGAGAAACTCATTCCCAACATCCTAGTAATGTTGCTCAGTGCTAACAGAAGACTCTGCATTTCATCAGCGTATTCATCAAACAGGACTATGTCATTTGCGTATTCTATGTTAATAATTGGACCTCCTGGTAGGAAATCAGCCGTAGGTCTACGATGAAATTGAACCAAAATGGATATAGTGCACAGCTTTGCCGGACATCACTTGAAGTTGTAAAATCAGATGACAGTTCATCATAAGTTCTCACTCGACTAGTGTTCGAGTAAAGAGCCTTCACAAGGTTTATGTACTTCTGAGGTACGCCTTTTAATGACAGCCATTGACACAGAACCACTCGGTCTAGAGTCAAATGTTGCTTTTAAGTCAAGAAAAACTATAATTGTCGGATGCCGATAAGCATACCTGTATTTTTAGATCTGACGAATGGAGAACATGTGGTCGACGCAGCCTTGGACAGGTTTAAATCCAGTCGACCGTCGCTGCAACCTTGAATTCATGGTCGAGCTTGCCTGTCGTGGTGAACCAATCGAGCTATACTAGATGAAACAATCGTTCATCAAGGTCCTACCATGACAGACAGGTTGCTTAAAGAACAGTAAAACTAAAACCAGAAAACCCAAGGTCCGAGGGTTAAATAGTTCTGCTGACTGTGCAAAGGTATGACGGCAGTAAGGTGTTCCCCTCAGACAACCATCATAACAGCGATGCTGCCTTCTCATAAAGGAAGGGTGGGGTTAGAAAAGGTCGACCATAAAAATAAACACCTTGCCTTATCAGACAGATTTTCGTCTCCAATGGCAAGGTCTCAACAATTACGGAGCTAACACAAAAATTACCCACAGAAAGGTTGTGTACAAACGATCTCAAGAAGTTGTACCATGGGCACTGCGGTCACGCTCTCAGGTCACTAAAACCAACTCTAACCCAATTTCCTTTTCAGGTACCTCCAGACTACTGTACATTCAAAAATTATGTATCAGACTAATCTTTATGAGCTAGAAGATTCTACTCAATTAAGATCTGATAAAATTAGCATTCTCTATAAATTTGGGTCGATAAATAACACGGAGATGGGATTATATGAATTTATTTTATTTCAGGAATTAACAGGTCAAGAGAAGTCTAAACAGATTAAATATGGTACACAATTTCTACACGAAGTCACAAGCCTAGAAATAAATAAAGTTTGTGTAGTGAAAGGTTGTTATTTGACGTCTGTGAAGTTACATGGTAGTGAATATTCGTTCCATAGGTAATTCAAACATTAATTTTGTAGCTAATCTTAATAATCACCTAATTCTGTGCTAAATAATATGACGCGATGAAATGAATAGCTGGTAAAATAAGCATCTCAAAGGTCATCAAACCAAAATATTAACTTATCCTAACCCTATCAAAATGGATAACCCATACCCCTAGTTTACGAGCTGAAACGTGGAGCCTCAGATAGAGATATCTCAAGCAAATAAATCGCTATTGTCGTATTGTAATAAAGTTTGATAAAATGTATCATAGTAAGAACAAACAAAAGCAGAAATGTGGTTCTCGACCTACTCGAAAATAGTTACAACAAAAGGATATCATATTTTTGAAGGCACTCAATAAAGACGTTAATTAGGAATACTTAATTAAATACATTAAAATAGCAGACAAAAATTATCGGGTAGCTGGATGCCACTACACACTTACAGGATGTGCATCAGGTGATAAAAAAGAATCTGAAAGAAAAAATGGAATAATAAAACATCGAAGATTTTATATAATAAGCAAACAGCATCATTATTACTTTATTATTTAAGCATGAACATAGGTACAAGGAGGTACCAAATAGGTATGCGCCACATAAATCATTCGATTTGTGTGAGGGCTGTGATACTCCCCGAGTCCCCAGACCGAAGCAGGTGGTTTTCTTAGGGGCCACTCCCCGAGCCTTTGACCTAAAGGTCTAATCCGCAAGACAGTGGAGCAACGTAAGAAGATGCAGTCTCATGGTAGCTGGTGACTAATAATTGGTTCATACGACATTTATTCCCTCAGGATCCTGGAGTCCATGTACACCATCGGTTTGAAATCAGGGTTTCCCAACTCCCCTAAGTGGATTCTCCGTATCCAGCGACCCGGTTAAAGCTCCTGACATTCGCTTTTCGTCCTCTCAATTCTGTAAACAACATACACGCCGCGAAAAAGCTGTGAGTAGGACTTCCCTGTCAGCGGTTGTATGCACGTGGCCATGTTAAAGTATTTCGAAGGGGAGAGCGGACTCTCCCCACTCTCGGCCGTACCAGGGCATTTTGGGGGCTGTGGGTTGTTCATTAAAGTCTTACCCAAGAATTTAAATTAGCGTCAATAAAATTCAACCTAATCGAAACCCCGCTTGTGAATAAGTTGTTTAAAGCTACGAACCACATTCCCACTAAATTATCTATAATTATAAAACAACGTGACTATTGCGTTTACAATAAAGATGCTAGTCAGGTCAACGAACAGTTACTGATAAAATTAAGTTTTAAACTGAGATTCGTAGACAGTTGATCTAATCACACTGTCAAGTGAGTGCAATAAAATGCTAACAATTATCCTTCTCAAGGTAATGCTAAATGTGATGGAGTGAATATTGGACTTTGGAACTTAAAGTCAGAGTGAAAACGTGAAAAGTCAATGGGAAAAATCAAGACTTAATTTATAGCTTACTCGGCACAAGTCAGTAAGTAGTATGAAATTTTGACTAATGGATATACTCATATGTCGTTCCAAGCTATGAGATATTGGTGAATTGATTGCATTACCTGAACCTAGACTAGGTAACACTGTAAACCTATCTTTCAATCTTAAATCCATCATGGTTAGAATACCTTGAAGAATTACTCTATTATCAGATGTAAAAATTCAAATGATAAACGGTCACATTACGTCGCATATCATATTCAACCATCTGGTTTCTTAACTTAGTGAGTAACTGGGTACGAACGAATAAAATAACTATCAAATGTTCATAGATAAAACATACCCGCCAACATCAGTCGGTCCTCATGGTTAACACGAAAACTTGGCTTACTATGTGGGAGGACAAGTCTAGAATTTGATGTCACACCTTTATCATCGTCCATAATAACTGATGAGCGTGTTTTCCTGCTTGGGACGTCTGAAGTATGTAGTGACTGAGAGCAAAGATCAGTTTTCTTCCTATCAAAAACATGGGTAAAACTGATCGCTTTAAAGGAATTAGAAAAATATTTCTCCAAACCTGATAGTCCGTTGTGATACAGAAGTGTCTCACAAGATGACAGCTCATCAAAGTCACTAAATCCAGAAAGAGCCATGGAAGACTGAAAAATATATTTATTTTTAAGAGGCAGTATAGAGGTTGGGAGCAGGCCACCTGAAAATCGAAAAAGAAATATCTGATAGACCTACAGAAGCAGAATATAAAAACAATTTAATGTGTTAAAATTAGGGAGCTGATTGATATTATTTATCAAGCGGAGCTGAAAAACCTGAAAGGTCGCAAATGGTAAGGTACAAGAAAAAAGCAGTACAGTAAAATGCAGTGTACACACAACGACTGAGGGCTATCCGTCACAAAAATATACAGAGAGTATGCTTCGACAAATGAAGTAAAAAACCCAGATAGCATTAGTGAAAAGAGGAGTTCAGGTGAGCACTCCGGATGAAACTATGTCTGCAGTGTTCAACTCCATCAGGAGGCCGGAATTGTCATAAAAGTAAATCCTCCGATGAGATGCGTAAAATTTCTTTGCTTAATTAGTTTCCGAATAGTTATAGTAGCGCAATTAATCTATTGACCCAACCGATCAACGAACTATTTGTTCCCAAACCAAAAATCGTCTTACCGTCTCGTATATTCCGCCACAACCTTCCAGTTGCATTACTGAGCTGTCTGAACAAGAAAAAGAAAACAGTTTCTCGCGCTCTTAGAAACGTTGTTATAGAAAATTTCTGTGAATAAAAAACTGGGAATTAGCCGATATTTTTCTGAACCAAATTAATCTTTTTAGTTTTGGTTGTATTCTAAGATGTAAAGGCTTCTTTTATATTCACTTAAGTTGGATATTTCAGTCACAGTAACACAGAAATATCATTCTCTTGTGTTCAGTGTTTGTCACCTCTAGAGTTTTAAAGAACACGTATTCTAGAGATCATATATGAGTCAACGGTTTCAGCTCTGGATTCCCATATCAACGCCAAACAGACAATGGAGGAGCATAGCCTGAACTATGTGAAAGATGTAATCGAGAAACAAAATAAGTTCAATGATTGGCTTACAGTTACACCCATACAATTAAAGAAACAGAGTGGGACTTACATTTCTGACTTCAAATGAGACTGCAGTGATGGGAAGATTTTACGAAACTAACCTGCACGGCTTGTAAAGGCGGGTCTCGCTGAGAGGTCAGTCATATTTCATACGTTAAAAATCCTCCGAAAAAGAACCAAAGGCTAGATTTGAACACGATTTCAACCACATTAAGTCCCTAATCAGCAGACTACTCGCAGAAACATTCGAAAGGGTCGATATCCATAAGCTTTATAGAAGAGTATAAAATGTGGATTCTGAAAGTATGCAGAAAGGCCGCCCCTTAAAAATTCTTTCACTTCTGCTGTAAAAAGAAACCTTACACTGAAAAAATCACGTAAACTGACCTGATCCATGATATATGTTCATGAGGATCTCAGGCTATTTGGTCGTATTGAGAGACGATCTGTAGAATTAGAAATAAGTGAGCACCACCGAAACTGTGTAAAATAATTAAACAGATTGTAAAGGTTTGGACTTAAACAATCTCCAAACTCTGAAAGTTCTACACGGAATTAAAGGTATTCCATGAGGCCTAGTAATTAAAGTAGCGGAGCTCAAAATCGTAATGAACACAAAAACATCTAATGTAATTGCCATCTACGAAACATGAATAACGGAAGAAGTGTATAATAGTAAAATGCAATTGCTTGGTTTCTTGCCTAATAGGGCTGTCAGAGTAAACCGGATGTGTAGTACTGTTATACCGTACATGAAAATCACCTTAATCATATGAGCTGTCGAGACAGTGACACATGACTCAGGTACTTGTGAAATGGTGTACTGCTGACTGAAATTTAGATGGCTAGACTTTAAATTATTTGTAGTGTAACAGAAAGAACACGCTGAAAATTCCTCCAGAGCATTTTATTGGACAGTAATGACGGCTATTTATTCCTTCACTCAGTTTTGCATTTCGACCTTTACTCAGGTCTTGTGTAACCACCCCTTATTTTCTTCAGTCCCCCTCGTCTGAGCCTTTTTACGTGGCCTTGGTTAAAGACCTACCTGTTGTTACTTAATTTACCTGTTGCAGATTGTTGGGTTATCGACACAAAGGTGGTGTTTGACTAAACTCAGGGTCACGGTGTGGTTCAAAGTATGACTGCCAACCTTTGACTGTCTGCCTGGAAAGGTTGCCGGGATCCTTGAAGATAGAAACGTGGTCCCATCTTGTTGAGAAAATCTTATTGATTCTCAGGTATGGAGCTTGTAGACCATCTACGTTGATGTTCCATGTCGAAATGATTGGGGGCCTACTAGAGTTAAACGAGAATTGGGACGAACCAACTAACGCTGAAGTCACATCTCGCGACCAGCCCTTACGTGGATTGAACCATCGACGCATCAAAGGATAATAGATGCTATGGAGACTGTACAACACAAAGGACGTTATTACAAGAATATATTAGTTAAGGTACAACTACGGAAGTACAGAAGTGAAAGAATAACCACTGCAGCGTGGGCCAGTCCATGGCGTACGATTGGTTTGTGTGCGTTGACTACCCTTGACCTTGACAGGGATCAATGATCTGTTCAGTATTCAGTGACCCTACAAGCTCTTGTCTAGGAACTATTCCTTTTGTTGTTTGATACTTTGGTTTGTGTTAGGGAAACTATTAGTTGTATAGGGCAGTCTGTAGCATTCGAAGCATTTCGTACTCTTGATATACTTTGTTATCTTTCTCAAATTGGAACCGTTTGATTGAATACAGTCTGTGTTCTGTTAGAATTTAATATGAGTCGTCTAAAAACGCTTCGTACGCAATAAAGATGGACGTTGTTGACCTCATGGAATAAATTTTGTTCGTTAGTTCTGCGTTCAAACCAAATTTCGGTATTTTGTTCGTTACACGCAGTATACCGCAGTCCGAAATGTGTAATGATTGAGTTCCTCCTGGGCAAACTCAAATCCTGGTCAAACAGGTATAAAAGCCCTATGGTAGGTGACTTTAATGCACCGTCTATAAATTGGGGGAACTGAGAAGTAGAGTCATCGAAAGCATAGTTTGATTACAAATTGTCAGAAACCACACTCACCCTAGGTTTATTCCAGTACATTAGATATCCCAACACATATGACCTACAAAACTCCTCGTCTCTCTCAGACTTAGTCTTCACATACGGTGATGATGTCGGCCAATTGACTTTCCTCCCACCTTTACGGGAAAGTAAGATTACCAGTGAAACAGTTGCGCCGGCCCGTCCTAAGATATGGAAGGCAGACATGAAAGTGATAAACTCTGAAGCCCCCGTTGGAAACTGGAAAATATACTCAGGAGCATCACAAGAAGAGACATGGACTCATTTCAGGCAGTTGTACAATCAAGTGACTCAACCATTTGTACCCTGGCTAGTCCCGAAGAAAAAGTACGGCCATCCTTAAATAGACAGTGATATTTGACATTTACTGCGACAAAATAAACATTGTGACGTCACCGTCAGCCTTGGCACAACAAATAGGATGGGACTCCACAGGTCAGTCGGAAATAAGTGCATTAGCGAAATGAAGGCAGCTGGGCGAAAATATGAAAAACAGTGGGCACAATAAGTAATAAAACAGCCGAAAGAACTGTTCTCGTACGTAAACTACGGAACAGACACACATCATCGAATTCCCTACCTAATTATTGACGGGAGTGCATCTCAATTGATAGAGGATGATCAAGACAAAGCAGAGGCTATGGAAAACTATTTCGAGACAGTTTTCTCTCAGAAACTTTTTCTAGACGAAGAACTAGACCCAAACGCAAAGCCACATAATCGACTGCACACAGTGAACTTCGATCGAGACGATGTGTTAAAGGCCGTTAGTATTTTATACATGGGAAAGTCAACAGAACCGGAGGAACTACACTCGAAATCAGTGGATTTTGTCTACAAAGACTTCAGAAAAGCATCTGATGTAGTGCTGAAAAATAGATTACTGTTGAAGTTGGAAAATCTAGTAATCTCCGGACCTCCACTAAAATGGATCAAGGATTTCTTAGTGGTTTGTGGATAGAAAGTGAGAATAAATTTCAAATGCTCCTCCGGGAAACCAGTTCTCAGTGGAATACTGTACGTATATGAACTCCTAAGTACATTTGATTTCCCATTGCTACTGTACGCTGATGATATAAAAATCCAGCGAGAAATAACGAGAGTCGCAGATGCGTGAACACTTCAGGCGGACTTAGATTTCCAATCAGCAGGTCCAAAAAAGGCTGATGCTAATCAATGGGGCCTAGTATGTCTGCATGCATTTTGGGTACAGCATGGGGGAAGTGCATGTGCCCGTGGTCCGGTCTCACAAGGATCTTGGGGTGACAGTGGGTCATTGCCCACTGACAAGAATTTGCAGCTAGGGGTTTAGAACTCTATAGGCTCTAAAACGGGCACTTACAAAGTTAGATATCAGTATGTTCACCATAGTATACACAATCTTAGTGGGATCTGAACTTGGAAACTGCTCTCTGATTGCAAGCCCCTGTTTAAAAGGCGACTCAAATATCCTGGAAAAAGTCCAGAGGGCAGCTACGCGTGCAATTTCAGAACCACGGGGTTTACCATAAGATGAACGGCTTGAGAAGCTAGACCTCTTTATTGACTGACTGAATGCAAACTAAGAAGTGATCTGATTTTGATGTGTAAAACATCTCAACTATCTCCGCTTTTTCTTCTTACCAGACCAGGACAACTCAAAAGACATAGCATGCTAGTGGAAAAGCCAAGAGCCAACAGAATATCAGCAACATACAGGTTTTCAAACCGGGTCATTAATTCTTGGAGACTGTTGCTCGAAGCAATGCTGTCTGTCCCTTCAATAAATTTAGAAGCTTACTAATAAAAAACTAACACAGACCGTATGCCTTCTGTCCTTACTACACAAATCAGAATCTGTTTGTTACGAATGAACATGATAATGACGACGAATATTTCAAATGTCCGTGCACGGACTAAAAGTAGCTTTTGCTTAACGGGCTTCCTTACCTAGTAGCAGCGGATAACCAATGCCTACAGCAAGGAACGTAGGTATATTTATCATTAAAAGGAGAAATTCTAGTCAGTTATAGTGAAATAATGTCCTGAGTCCTCAGTGATATGTTAAGTCCAACCTTGAAGGACTCCTGGAAAACAGCGTGAATCACTCCAGACGTCAAAGAATCCTATAATTCTACGACTTTTAAAGAGCTGGTGTGACTATACCCCACTCTTCTATAAGCGTCTCTAATTCCTGAGTGTTATTCCTAAGGTTCGTATTGAGACTGAGCTTACGTAAGTACTTAAGGATGTGCCCAGCAGCGTTTAAGATGATATAAGTCGTCGGGTCCCTTTTGAGATTCCTATACTCTTTGGTACTGACCCTGTAGTTATTAAGAAAGAAACTGTTTTAAGCCTACTTCAGCATCTCAAACCTGATAAGTCTAGTGGTCCTGATGATATTCATCCTCGGATTATGAAAGCCCTCTCAGATGTTGTTGCTGAACCCTTAGCGATACTGTTTGATATGTCCCTGCGGCCTTCCAGATTGCCCAGAGACTAGAAAGACGCAATAATCAGTCCGGTGTATAAGGCTGGGAGTAGGGATTTAGTTAGTAACTATCGACCCGTCAGCTTAACTAGTGCAGTTGTAGAAATAATGAAAAAAGTTATTGGGACGGCTGTTATAAACTACGTGGAAAGACATAATCTTTTGTCGAAGGAACAACATGGTTTTCGAAAAGGTCTATCATGTTTAACAAATCTTCTCATTGCAAGAGAAGATTGGGTTGAGGCGAAAGATCACAATATTCCTGTAGATGTCATTTTCATAGATCTAAGTAAAGCTTTTGATAAGGTTTCCCATTCTGGTCTTAAATTAAAACTAGAAAGTTTTGGAATTCATTATGCAGTCATAGACTGGATAAGTGACTTTCTTCATGGAAGGAGACAAAGGATAAGCGTAAATGGGGCTCTCTCATCGTGGGAACTAGTAAAAAGTGGAGTCCCCCAAGGCACAATTTTAGTTCCTCTTCTCGTTTTACTTCATATAAATGAATTACCAGCTATAGCTAAGTCATCCGTCCTACTATTCGCCGATGACATTAAGATTTGGAGACCCATATATAATATGTCAGACAGAATAGTTTTACATGAAGATCTTAACTCATTAGTGGCATGGATGAATGGGTGGTCACTAGAAGTAAACCCTAATAAAAGTGTTGTGATGCAATTAAATAACTACGATGATTCGTATCCCTACACAATATGTGGACTAGTGTTGCCCAAAGTAAGAAACTATAAAGATTTAGAAGTCATACTAAGTAACGATCTCAAAACAACCAGTCACTGTAAGGCTGCAAAAGGCTATAGGGTATTATGATCTATTCGTAGATCTTTCCGGCATATGGATGGGGAAATGTTTAGACTATTATACCCAACTTTCGTACGGCCACATTTGGAATATGGAATTCAAGCAGCTAGTCCTTGTTTCAAATATGAGGCGGATATGTTGGAACGAGTCCAACGCCGCGGAACAAAATTGGTAAAAGGCCTATCTAGCCTATCTTATGAAGGCAGACTGAGACACCTCAACTTATTTCCGTTATCTTACCGGCGAATACGGGGGGACATAATATTGACATCGTATCCTGAACGATGACCTTGGTACTAACATGTCCTATCTTTTCCTCCCGTCTAGGGCTGATCATTTGAGAGGACATTCAAAGAAAGTCCAAAAACCGAGATCAAATCGTCTACGTCTGGAGTTTCGTTTCTCGCACTGAGTAGTGAATTACTGGAATTCTCTACCAGAACACGTAATGTCAGCACCTTCCGTTGATCTATTCAAGACGAGATTGGACCTCCACAGTGTAACAAACTGCAAGGATTAAAATAGGTCACTAGACCTCCTATCCTTATTACTGAAGACTGAAGTTTAGACCGCGTTTGTCAATGGTAGCGTTACACTTAGGCGTGTTATCTCCTCGCATTACTCTACATTTTTTGTGCATTATAAAGACACGTTTCAAGAAAACCTTGAGTTCCAAATCAAAAAATTCTTAGTAAAATCAGGGAAAGTGATCATTGATGTTGTAGCCTCCAATAGGTTACCACCTCACATTATTGGATTAAAACTATTGTGAACGGTACCTTAGTTTATGGCTTCCCTTATTGTGGGAACTAAAAGATATGCTGTCTAAATCCTACGTTGCAATAGTTAAACGTAAGTTACTACAGAGACATACAACATTAATCTAATAGTTCAAAAGCGTAGCTAAAATACCAAACTAAATTTTCATTTTCCTATTAATCATCCATGGTTAAGTGTATAATATATGTGTAGTAACCGGCAGTTTAGCCCCTAGCTCACTTAAGGGTTAGGAGTGTTTATTATGTTGGCTCAAGAAAACCATTCGTACTCCTGAGATAATTTTAATCACATTTCTAAGTCTGTTCTGTCAAAATATCACCCAGTTGTGTTAAGTCTGCAGTCGCCAACATCCCAGTTACTCTTCATTTCACCAAACTAAATTATGTCCTACTTTTGTCTTTTGCCTAATAGCTTTCGTGGTAGGGCTGAAATACTTCTGAAACAGTGGTGATTAGCCCAAGATCACACCACATTTACCAGAATACTATAAGTAATTGAGCTTAGAATTAAGGATTGTGACTTTCATTGTGAGCTGAGATCCTAATCTTCATATCCTTAGTTCTAGTCCTAACTAATTAAATAACACCAATCGTTTCTGTCTCATCGGCAAAGTGGTTAGGATATCAGGGTTGTTTAATTGTATATTTAGACCATATCGAGCGTTTAACAATAGCTCATTTAAAATTAACGACAAACCAACTAAGAACTATTTTACTCGGTAGTTCCTATTGTTGAAATCGTATAATAAGTGACCAGGTGTTTTTCAACTAATTATGGGTTCTAACCCTAACAGATTCATAAATCTGTATAAACACTAACTGATTACATGATTCCACTGGGTAGGTGGTAGTGATGGCTCAAAATACATAACAGCAATGAAGACGGGCCAGCTGACTCTGTAACATTTGATTATTCATTTTGAATTCACCACCCTCTTTATCTGTCTATTTTTCATAATCTTTCCTTGTTTTTGTCTTTTTGTGTAGTGTATATACTTGTCCTCAATTTTTTTTCAGAATAAACAAAAATGGAGAGTGCTGTTTGGTCATTTTGTGTCCCAATTTATCCCAATAATTTCACTCAGTTGACCCGTTCTTTACTTCAATATGTTATTTCGTGTGTTAATAAGTTCATCCCTGATCTAGAAGGTGTCCTTGTGGATTTTGATGCCAAAAGTTTACAAATCATAACTGAAGTTGATTATTCTGATCGTTATGTCCCTAATGGTTTCACTTGTGGTCTTTTCCTGATTCATCCAGAGTTAAACCATCTTCGTGTACACGGAAAAATAAAAGTCAATGTTTTTCGGCCACATTTGGGTTTGGAAGTAGATGCTGTTGTTTCAGTGGTTAGACCACAATTTATTCTTTGCCGTACAGAAATTTCCAATGTAATGATTAGTATTCCACTCTTGTCTTCTGAGTCAGTAAAAAAGGAAGAATTCAGCCAGTACATGTTGAAACCTTTTGACAAAATAAGAGTTAAATTGACTCAAATTGATAATAATTTTGGCTCTCCAGTTTTACAAGGTGACTTTATGGAGTGTCTTTCAAAACCCTTATCAAAATATTCCGAGAAACAACATAAGCATCAAACAAATTCCGCTGCCACTGGTCTGAATGATATAAAACCAGTTTTTAAAGTGTCCGATGATACTAATAGTTATAAAACTACTCCATCATTTCATGCAAATTCTTCTGATCCAGTCACTTCTCCAACTAATTCACCTAACCATAAAACACCAAAAGTTAGGAAACGAAAGATTCGGAAACTTGGATCATTAGAAGAAGTTGGAGTCCTCGGTAATTGTAGTGAAAGTCTATTAACTCATGATGAGTCTCCAACTGATTCAGTGAAGAAATTACGAAAGGAAAACTCATCAACTTCCAAAATACTAAAAAAGAAAGGTAATTTGGATTCAGAAGAAACTGTCCATGCATTATTAAGCGATGCACTGTTGAAATGTGGCAGGAAATATAAGTCGAACCATAATCTACTATCTTCTGTAACTGTAAAAGAGGAGCCAACTTAATCTTCAATAAATGTGCTATCCATGCATACACAGTTATTACTTTCCATATTTCTTATTTATAATGTATAAATAGATTATCACGTTTGGAGTTTTTTTTAAGTTTCTAGATTAATCTTTAAAATTATTATGTACAACAGTTTCATTGACGATGAGGCATTGCAGTATTCTAGCGTTTAGTAAAGTTCTACCACTATTTTCAATGCATACAAATAAATGTGCTTCTGATTACCACAATTTGTGTAATGTTCTTCCGATAATTGGAAGCCAAATGGTCATAGCAAACGTTTTAGAATCCCTTTTCTATTGTACCATTAGCTTCTAAAGATTTATCACTATATATGGTGTGTGAGCAATAGCCATATTAACTATCTAGGATGCTTAAATAACTACCAACCACAGTCTTGTGTCAGTTCATTCTCTATAGATTTCTCTCTTCTAGTCATCCTGAACTTTTAGTTTGTGTGCAAATTTTTTGTCTGATATCTTCACAGTTTCCAAACATAATACCAAAGAATCTTCGAATATTAATTAGTTTCGGCGAAATTTGTTGTATTTGCCGACCATTGGTATACAATAATTATAGTTCGGTAGGTATTTGTATCACGATGAATAGCTTATAATTATGGTCTTGGTCATTATGAATAAAAGTGTCATGCCGTAATAAGTGTTCGATCAGTTCTCTGTGGATATAATCTTTTAAATTTTAACGTCAATGAAAACACATATAGACTTTTTAGTTTTATTTTTCTTGGAATAATTTGAGCGTAGTTGCATGCTTGATAAAGCCAAGATTCTAAGTAAATGCTCCGAGGAGGGTATTAGTTTTCATGAGATATCTTTGAAAACCTAAAGAAAATATAACCATGGCTATAATCTAGAAAAGTTATTCTCACTACTTCTGAATATCAACAGCAGGCTATCTAACTTTAAAAATGCGTCTTTATCTAATATAGGGTTTTTGCTACCTCCAGGCCAAACAGAGTTTTCTTTTGTATTTATATTTCGTCGTAACAAAATAGGTAACGTTTGAAGAACTAGTTCGAAGCGAATGACATCTATTCATTCATCTTGTGCTGCAGGATGGCCATTTTAGTGTGTGACTTTTTCCTCACCCCTGCATGCTCATTGTAGTCTTTTAATTTGAAGTGTTCTTAACTCTTAGAAAAACACTAGGTAGGTTCTCCGAGACTTGTTGTTCACACTGGTCGAACTTAGATCTAGGGACATCCAGATGATAACTACGGACAAACAGTTGTGTTTTGGTTCTTTTATGGCATTTACGTTTATGATGTACCAATTTCCTAATTGTGACTCACACTGGATTGTCAGTTTTCTACATAATGCTAGTGAGAAATGGTCCATATCATACAGAAGCTTTTAAGAACATAATAAGAGTATGAACGATAATGAGAAATTGAGCTAATATAGTTGTGTCGCGACTGCTGACTGGATATATCATGTATCCGTTTACAGGTATTACAATATTCAAACATATAAACAGTTAGTAGTAGAGTATATACTTATGTATCAGGTGATATAAACATTCGGTTAGTTGATAATTTTAAAGAGATTAGTGAGTTGGTTAGGTCCTCAAAACTAACTTTTACTATCTCATAGAGTTCCGAACTGCTCCTTGATTGTATTATTACGAAAGTTCCAGTTAACTGACTAGAATACAGTATAATGACTTAATGTAAAATGTACTTGAGATTGCGAGGGATTTGAAAATATGTTTGCTTTAAGTCAGGTTACTACGAATTGTTTGGGAAACTCAATCTTGTCATCCCTCAAAACTTGGTACTCAGTACCTTTCTGATAAGTAATTTTAGGATCAAAGTAATAAGCACATTCGTAGCATTATTATTTTAAACAATAATTCGCGCTGTTGAGGACAGATTTATTTGACGAATTCAGCATTAGGTTGATGACATGATTTATAAACGGATCTGGGTTCCAATTGCATTCTGTAATTTAACCCTTAAACAACCTTTGAGACATTGTTCGTTAAGCGAAAAGAGATGACTAATTATGCGTGGATTTGTGATTTTATAGTCTCAACATTTGATTTTCGATCGTTAAGTCGTGTGTATTCGTTCTTATTCTCACAGGGAATTTTTGTAATTTACCGATTACAGAATCTCTAGATCTAATTTTACATCTGTTGAGCTTCTAACTACACTGTTTTGGAGAAAACACTTAAACTGACCAATCACCATTTATTTGTCAATGATTTTCTTTTTTACTGTAACGATTAAATATTAATGTAGAGCCTTGATAAGAAACTTGTCGAAAAAGACACTTCCCCCAACTTGCGTTTTTAATGTTTCTTCACAAACAAAGATATACGATAACATAGCTGAGAGTGAATTTGGTTGTGTCATTAGCCGATTTATTCCAGTGAAGACCAAATCCAGTTATTCTTTTGAATATGATATACTAAAACAGCTTTATTTATTTTGTCTTGATTAAGACGACATGTTTTGTAGGAGAGACTTCCTACTTATTTATCTATCAAATTCGATATATTTTTGTTAGTCTAAAAGCGTAGTATTATACAACTCTTTGTAATCTTAAGGTTCAAAACATATGTTTCACTGTATGTTAGTAGACGTATTCAATGATTGAAGTTGAAATAGATTTCCTGAAGTGTTGGGTTATTCAATCGCCAAAAACATTTTCTAAATTTTTCTTTTTGTTCCTCTTAATACTATTTTTCGTTTATGAATATACACCAAAATATATCAGTGTTTACGATTAGTTATCTACGATCTTGCAAAAGTGAAGGAAATATAACATGATACTATGAAATTTTGTGTTTTATTTTACAATTTCGTGGGTTAGGTTAAAATAATCATCTAAATCTTCACTTTCATCTAGCAGGATATTAATATGTGAAATACAGTAGCAGCAGTCAGCTAATAAACTATAGATCACCGATTCAAACTTTACTCTCCGTATTTCTGTTTATCTGGTTATTATTACTAGCCCGCTAATGCCCTGGTACTGTTGAGGGTGGAGAGAGTCAGCTCTCCCTCTCGAAGTGCTTTAACATGGCCACGTGCATACAACCGCTGACAGGGAAGTCCTACTCATTGCCTTCTCGCGGCGTGTATGCTGTTTTTGCAAAATTGAGAGGACGAAAAGCGAATGTCAGGCGCTTTAACCGGGTCGCTGGATACGGAGAATTCACTTAGGGGAGTTGGGAAACCCTGATTTCAAACCGATGGTGTACATGGACTCCAGGATCCTGAGGGAATAAATGTCGTATGAACCAATTATTAGTCACCAACTACCATGAGACTGCATCTTCTTACGTTGCTCCACTGTCTTGCGGATTAGACCTTTAGGTCAAAGGCTCGGGGAGTGGCCCCTAAGAAAACCACCTGCTTCGGTCTGGGGACTCGGGGAGTATCACAGCCCTCACACAAATCAAGTGACTTGTGTGGCGCATATGTATTCGGTGCCCCTTTGTACCATTATTTATGTGATCAAATAAATAAATAATAAACTCACACATCAAGTGTAGCTTTAGGCTGACTGCACCAAACCTGTATTTGTTAAATGATTTTCATGAATAAAATGAATTTTAACTTACAATGAATGAAAATAATGTATAACAATGAGAATAAAACTGATGTTGCATTGACCACTATTTGCGCTGTCATATTTTGTTCAAATAATCAAGAAACAGAGATTGTTATAAAACTGCAAAAAGACACTCAAGTAATCACAGATTATCGCCTAAGTAGAAGTTTTCAAAACTTCAAGTTAATTTTGAATTTTAGTTAAACGCTAGATTAATGGAACCTACACATAGTAAAAGGGAGGATTTCCTCACATAACATATTCAGACGATAAAGTACGTGTGAATACGTAAAGTTGACAAACGACATGGCTTACAGTATCTTGGAAGGCTGATGATTTATGGATGATTTGAAGAATAAACGTGAACAGAAAATTAGTGCAACACTAACTCATATGTATGACCTTAAACCTCAATCGATTATCTTCTATTCCTCAGTTAAAACATAATTGTTATCTGAATAAATTGACGTAATTAAATGAAACGGAAACATGCTACGTTAATGTTGATACTGTAATATATAACCTTATGAAATAATTGGATTTTATATAGAAACATAAATTTTTAAATCAGTTGATAAGTTTACATGATTAGTAATGATGTTTATGGTAAATACATCCCTCAATTTGTAATACGTAGTGTACAATTGTTGTGTTTTAAATTATTAATTGACTGAATCAAGTTTTATACCGCTTAAGTGCATCCCTTCCCAAAAACATGCTGCTTTGCCAAAATATTGGTGTAAGAGCCACGTTGTATGTATGAAGAAATAAATGAAAAAAAAAGACTAGTTGAAGGGTTGTTTCTTGATTTCCTACGTAATTGTTCAACCAATTTGATATTGTCACATTGCAGCAATAATGAAAATCTTTTATAAGCGTGTAAATATAAACCTTAGTGGACCGATTCATTAAAATAATAAGTAATTTATAAAACATATAAGTTGGATACAAAAGTAACATGCTACATTCAGTTTGAAATTGTTTCAAATATAATTAAGTGTTGGAGAAGAATAGATAGTTTGTTGCCTAAAAATGAATATTGTCAGCATAGAGTTGTCGAAATTCAATGTGTTGTGTCGGGTGCTATGTTGAGCCCACATAGCTTATCCTAGCTTTCGGACAAATCAGTTTATTCATTCTTCTTGAGTCACATTTTGACTTTGTTAATTATCTGCCTGTCAACCTTGACTGTTTATTATGTGAGTGTATATGTGTGCATTCTTTACCTTACTCATCACATGTCTGTAGCTTATTTTTGTATGACTAAATATTGAGTAACGCTTGGTTAAATTGAGCTGGGTCATATACCTTCTCCAATCCCTTTCACTTCGCTTTCTCTTCTTAGCTTCCTTCGTTCCCTCTTTATGATTGTCTGTTCTGATCAACGATTGTACAAAATATACGTCTTCAAAACTTCATTCTCATATTTGACTTATTTTAATTTCGTTATTCGCTAAAGCGAGTTAAGTCGATAATTATATACTAGGATTGGCGACATGTGTGTTTCGATAGCAATCAACATACGATCAAATTGGAGTCATAATGGGCCACAAAAAGTATATATGGAGATCATGAACCGATGGATGCTAGACCACTATTGAAAACCTGGAGGTACTAGGTGGCCGTTTTGTCCTCGTATGGAACTAGACCCAAGAGGCAATTCTCGGAGTTCTAAGAGAAGCCGTGATCAGTGGTGTTGAACCGTGTCGAGTGTGAGCTAGTCACTCACGGAAGACAACGGGATATGGTCTAGCAATATTGTGGATTAATTGAAGTTAGATATTAACGCCGTTGGATGCTGACTCATTGATCTAGAGACTGGGCGTTAACGGGCGAAACCTAGGGTCCTGGACTCGAATCCAGCACGCGAGATCGTGGATGCGCAGTGCTGGGGAGCCCCATACTAGGAAGGAGTGACCGTCCGGTGTCTCCAAGTTTTCAATGGTGGTTTAAGATTGATCGGAATCTGAAACTATTTAGAAAGGATTTTCATCACTAACTGACGTTTGTTAAATAAAAAAATAAAAGTAT